ATGCATTTGGGATGGAAGTAAGGAAGAATAGAGGTCTTTGGTGCTGTTGATGTCAGTTTTCTCTCTCTGACTTCAGTCTCCAACCACGTATAATGGAAGAACATTCCCATCTGCTCCAGCCCTGTTCCCACCTCTCTTATCTCAGTGACAGAAGTAATGGTACTCTTGAATACTCCAGCTAAGTGTACAACCCAGCAGATTTTCTTTTCTGTGACATGCCATATCTTCAGCAGCTCTGTAAGCCGAAGTATGAGGCCTGTTGCCCAACTCCACTGAAATCCCCCAGCTGTGCTCCTGCAGTGCCAGGTCTCAGTTCATCAAGGGTGAGGCTCGGTGCGGTACATTCTGGTGGAGACATTGGCAAGGCACTTCAAACACCCACCAGACATTGTCTGTCATACACATGCACACCATCCTGCCCACTGCTGCGTGCTGGATGCCACCTGCACCAGCTCCTCAGGCTCTTCTGATCTCATTATGTTTATGATGCAGCAGATTACTACATGGATGGCTGGGAGAGGGCAAAGGAGATGCTCCCTTCACATTGGGAGTGATGCAAGCACCTCTGCTGCCCCCTCAACCCTGTACTTACATCAGAAGTCATCCTTTCCTTACCCACATCAATCCTGTTCTTTGTCAAACCAGCTTCCAGTACATCATAAAGTATTACCAGAAGTTGTTGCTACCCCCAGTAGCACTTGGTATCTCCAGCTAACCTTGGTCTCAATAATGGCTGCACAGCAAATGACTTTGACTCTATCTGTTGAACAACAGCTTTAGGTACCAGATTTACTACTTTTTCTCCTCTGCTGCCACAGATGAACACTGAAAGAACTGGTAAAGCTGGCATTTCCAGCCTAAAGCCAAAAGTCTCCAAATCTTCTATTTCTTATGTAAGTCTTTTTCCTTTGCAGGATAGAAAGAAAGCTTTAAATTCAAAGTCAATTTGTTCTTCTTTTTTCAGTCAGTTTTTTTGTTCCCCACAGCTCATCTCTTCCAACTTCAGGGGCTGAATTTCCAGATAGGTCTAGTAATACATCCACTAGCTATTTTAAAGCTTCTGTACCATTTTCTTAGGTGACACAAGCAGACATTAGAATTTTTCATTATAGCTCTCCAGCACAGAAAATATGTGAAGGACAATTAAAAACATAGGTACAAGAGGAGGAATGTGAAACATATAGTGATGCCTGCCATTCTAATATGTTCTTCAGACACTGTATTTTATTATCTTTGGGCACAAATCTTCAGAGCTGTTTTGTTCCTGCAGGAGGTAGAATGCATATGGGTGCTTAGGTCTAATCCAGAATTTTTGGGAAAGACTGTATTTAGTGGATAATTCCAGAGATGATTTTATATTAAACAACCCAAATAAATACCAGTGACATCTTTATCTTATAATGTATCATTATGCATTTTGTTCTGAAGTCATTTATAGGAACTATCTCAGAATTTGGCAAAATTTCTGGGTTTTTAAAATTATGTTGTTTTTCATATGCCTTCAGTCTCCCACATGCAGTTTCTCCTTCGTTTTTGAGCCCAACTGTTCTGTGAAACCACTGCCTTCTTGCTCAGGAGATTAGCTTCCTGTGTGTGCTTAGAGGGAAAAAGATAATCCTAGGAGTTGTGCAGAACCACAAATCTGGGGGTGGAGGGTTTCAGATACACTCTTTACTTACTGGAACTCAGAAGCAGGATCTTTCCAGTTCATTAGAATATTATGCATTAATAAGACAGGAATTTGAACACTGTAAACTGAAGTGAAATAGATCTGAATCTGTTCTTGTATAAACAATTTTGATGTTTTTTTATGGCTTTAATTCCAAGAAGTTTTCATTCCAACTAAGTTTTCCTATAGACTTAAGAAACTTAAGTATCACAAAGTCTTTTCTATTCTCATTACAGAAAGCATAATAAGCTCAGCAGAGATTGCTGTCCCATATTTCCTGTTATAAGAAGCTGTTTTGCATGTAAGCATATAAAACATAAATCTTTGGGCTCAAATTCTCTAGGTGTCTATTAGGATAATTTCTTTTTGGTGAATATTTCAACTAATGTAGCTCAACTATTTTTAAGGTGAAATAATGTGACAAGACAGTCTTGTATTCATATTCATTTTAATTACATTTACCATGTCATCTCTGTAAAGTTAATTGAGGTTACGTTTGGCCCAGCTTATAATAAATGGAAGCTAAGATCAGAGTTTCTGCCCTTGTAGCTACTCTGCAGCAGAAGGAAGTTAGGTTTTCTTCACTCTCCGTGTAGGAGCCTATGGAAAGGGACTGGAGGAGCATGAGAGGAATAATCAGGTAAAAAAAAATATCAGGAAACAGGATTAAGAGGGAAATGTGAGCAGATACTAGGGAGGTAGGACTGTGAGGGATAGGCTCTTTCTTTCTGCAAGTATTTCTGCAAATGAAATAGCAGCTTTCTACTACATAGTTTCATAAACTATGAATTTATGCCTCTGTGTTAAGCAGTAGTGGATTATACTGAATATCTAAATTTTCTGGTTTGCTGTTATGGAAAGATGAAAAGTTGTTTTAGCTCCATGGCAGAAGACAATAAAATCAGTTTTACAGGAGGGATGAGTGTCTGCTGCTGTTGACATTTAACATTGACACAGCAAAGCTTTAAAACCTGAGCTCATTCAAAGACGAGGTTGTTGCCTTATTAAACTGGGAATAAGGAGGCAACATGAATTCCAGGCTTTCCTTAGTTTTAAATATTTGTTTTTGTAACCTTGACATACTTTAAAAAAATACATTAAATAATACATAAGGAAAAAACAATAGCAAAGAATTAATAAAATAATGCTTTGTCTGTGATGCAGCAACTATGTGCAAATATTTTTCCTGTGCCTGTTAATTTAATTGAGCTTTAAACATTGTAATATTTGAAGCCGATGCCAAGGTTACTGGCATCAGTAAAGAGCGATGACTACACTGTGTTTATGTGTAAACATCATGCAGTAAGGAAGGTGAAATTTAAAAAACTGTTAAATAATGAAGTGAAAGCAGTAGCTGCAAACAAAATAGATGCATTTATTAAAATGAATGGAAATGCATAGCCTTTGTTTTGGACTGGATCCTCAGTTGGCTCAGTTTATTTAAATCCATTTATGCTAGCTATTTCCAGCCACTGGAGAATCCAGCCCAAAATGGATGGCTTTTTTCAATAATTTTTGCTGTAAGTTTACAGCCTCCTTTTGGTTACTTAAAAGAGAAAGGCAGAAAGAGGAAATTATAATTTTTATGTGTTTACCAGGGAGATGAAGGGGGTATTACCCCCACCTAATCACTCTCACTGTTTGCACAGCCCGTGCTGTGTGCACACTTATACTGGGTGATCTATTTAATCTGGCGTCATTGCACAGCTCTCCTTGTAGAGCTAAGGTTTCTGCCTGCCCTGTTCTGCATGCTGTACACCAATTATTTCAGGGTATGATTTGCAGACTTGTAGCCTTAAATCATTACAATTACTGTAAAATATAGTGTAAAATAGAATAGCTTTGCAAGGTTTCCTCGATTCTCTTAAAAAGACCTCACCTAGATTTTGCAGGGTACTCTGTGGAGAGGAACTTGGGAGTCCTCAGGGGTGCACCTGTAAACTAATCAGTCCATCTGAACACATTGAAGATTTAGCAGCTGAACAGAGTGAAGTCTTCCATATTCCAGGGTGATTTTTGAAAGAAATCCATGATGCTTTGGGACAGGAGATTTTATATTCAGAAAGAAATCATATCCTTTATTAAGCCCTGACTCAGCAAAGCATTTAAGCATGTTCTCTTACGTGCCTATTTGCTTTTCATTTTGCCACTTCTTAAGAGCTGTGCTAAGTCAAAAGCAGCAAACCCCAAATGGAAAGGTAGAGGTGAAGTCTTCACAGATTTGCTCACATAAAGCCTTTTTCATGATCAAATTAGATGAGCACAAGAATTCTTGCTTCTAGCCAGTTAGTATCATGTAACTCCAACAGGGCTAAGAGATCAGGACAGGTCTTCTGTTTTTTCAGGTTTTGTTTTCAACTGTAATAGTTAGAAACATTTTTAAAATTAAATACCTTTTTTAAAAGCTGACTTATTTTATGAAATGACGAGATCAAAAAAGAATACAAGATTGCCAGCAATCCTGACTTGATCCATCTGCAGTTCCCCTTTTGAGCCACTATTGTACCTCCAATGATTCCTCCAATTGTCACTGCCAGCTTTTTAGAAAATTGACCTTCAAATACTGAACTTACTGGGTGATGTCAGACTTCTTGAATTTATGAATTGTATTGCCCTATTTGTGTAGCTCCTATTGCTAACAACTCCTAAGAAGAGATGTTTGAATTGTGGAGGTTTATTTAATGAACTTTTCTTGCCAGTTGTTTTGTATATTATTTGAACAGATGGTCTTTTTCAGCTATTTGAATGTTTTGAACTATTTGACCTGCCCACAAGCAGAAAGATAAAAGCAGTGACAAGTTAGGATTGAACTGGTACAGTTAAATTTAGGGGGATGGGGACTGCACAATTTGTTGATACCTGTCCCTTTCTTCATCATTTTACTATCAATGAACAAATAATTTTATCCTCATCCACTCTCCTCATCTTATTCTGTGTTGGGTTCTTTTCCCAGTCCAGAGAAAAATGAACATCATAAATAGCTAGGTGAGGTAGGAGGTGAATTGAAAAAATTGAGAGTTCCTGAACAATTGTGTAGTCAAGTCCTTGGTTCCAAATGAAAGAGTGTTCACATCTGGTATTTGGCTTGAGTGAGAGCTACAATTTCTCCACTGTGCTGCCAGCAGTGTTGCAATAGTCCATGGGTTCGAGCACCTTCCACCATATTTTGTTATTGTGAAAATTAATGCAACCAGTATTTTATTGTTCTTCTCAGATGCTATAAGTTAAACCAAGTGTTCTCTTTCAAATGTGACAGAAAGGCCTTTTTCAAGCTATTGAGGGCATCTGTTAAGTTTTTCATTTTTATTTCAACTTTTTTCCTCATTTTTAGGGAAGCAACGTGATGGAGGACCAGGATCTCTTGGAAATAGGAATCCTTAACTCTGGGCACAGACAGAGAATACTCCAAGCAATCCAGCTTCTCCCAAAGGTATGCCTTCTGTTATTATACAAGTGAGGGAACTAACCCCTGCGGTATTCACATTATTTAAAACACTTTTTCAAATGGAGATAGATATAACTCCACTGGTTTTGTAGACATGTTTTTTGCATATGCAAATATGGCAGAAAATAATGATGGACTCCCTTCATACAGATGTGGTTGACAAAAGAAAGTATAATCAGTAATTTGACATGATGGCTGTTTAGAGTGTATTTGAGTTAATTCTGGCCTTTCAGCCTATTTATAGATTGACATTACATATGTGTAAATAAGGCTGTCCGTGAATCCCAGAATGCCTGTCTTAACATAGCAGTTGCCCTGGAAATACTTTGCCCTTTATATAAGTACTCAAAAGCATTAGAGGAAAGATTGTTTTCCTAATAGTTGGCTTTTGTGTGAGATACAGAGACTTCCTGCAGGTTGCATATTTCATTTTCTGCTGCGTATATGAATTGCTTCTCAGCTGCAGACAGAAAAACTTACAGCCACTTCCCAATCATTTTTAGTGCTAGCCAATTTAAACTCTAGATTTTAAAATCAGTGGTAGAATATTCTGCATACCAGAATTTATCACTTCTACTTCCATTCCATACTCCTTCCAGTAGAAGGAGGCTTCTACTGCCTTTCCAAACAAGAGACGGTGGACTTAGCATGGAAAATTACTACATTAATTTGGAAAATTTTATAAGTGAATGATGAATAGTGGGCACCAGTAAGGCTCAGAAGGCTGTCACATGTGATGATGATACTTTGTGCAAAATACTAAGGCAGGAATAAAATCAAGTGTAAAGTGCACTGAATGTTCTGGTAGCAGCATGTGGGAAATAATCGAGGTAAGTAGAGATTAGTCCACTTGATGTTTCATAATACTGGAGAATGACAAGAGTTATTAAAGGATTTTTCAGTTCAGATCATGAAGCAGACCTTGTTGGAAAAGGCTTTTTGATGCATCAAGGCTTCCTGGATGGATGACTTGTAAAAGAGCACAAGGGTTTCTTTGGTATGGGAAAATCAGAAGTTGTGAAATAGTTTCTGATTCTGAAAGTGTTAGTCAATCCATACATATTACAATGTGAGTCTGTGCACAGAAACATCAAAAATCATTAAAAATAATAATTTTCTATGTACCATATTAGACAAATGAGATAGATGGTACAAGAAGTAGGGTATTAAAAGTAGCATTTGATGAATTATGAAAGATATTAAAGTTCGATATATGAATTTATGAATTTGTCAGCAATACTATCATTCAAGCAAAAATTTTGTAGTCTTTAGCTGAGCTCGTAGCTGATGATATTTTATGTTTATTCTGTTTTTCTTGCTTCTTAGAGAGAGAAGCTTTCATGTAGTCTTGTTTACATTCTTCAAAATTAATGAATCAATTGTTAATATATCATCATGATAGTGCTATCTGCACTCATTGGCTGGTGTTTATGAAAACATTGCTAATATTGTCTGCTTTTGGAGAGTTTACTAATGCTGAGAGCAGATTCTGTTATAAAACTACAACTGCAGTCCTTTTAAAATCTGCTTGATGAGAGACACAATCGAGACCTAGAGGTACTCTTGAAAACCAGTTGAGAACAGGATGGTTACGCAGTTACTCAGATAAATTCTGAACCAAAGATAATTAAGTAACACAGGATGGCTTGAAGCTCGAAGCATGAATGAGATAGTTTTTTAGCTCCTTCCCTGTTGAGCTAAAAAGGCAGTCCCTAAGGACCATGTTTTAACATGTCTTTGCTGCAATGATGTTACACCAAAACAAAGTTGCAAGCTGAAGCTGTGGGTCATGTTTCTCCACATAAATGACTCAGCAATGTAAGAAAGTTTACATAGTAAAAACACATTATTTCCTATATAAACTGAGTTCTTTTGAAGGTAGGTTATAGAGCCCAAAAATTAGGATCACGGGAAGTTTTATCTAATTTTATCTAACACACCCGTGTTGTATTCAAAACAGCTTGCTAAAGACATAAAACACTTTCACATCCTGCAACAAACCATGAAATATTGCTGTATATCTCATTGTGTTGATAAGTTCAGCTCTGTCATCCTGCATTCAAAATAGTGCATACCATCTAAATATATTAAGACCTCAAACCGTAATTGGAGTCTCACTAATTTGAATCTCATTAAATAAAAATTCTGTTTGTTTGTTTGTTTTGAACATGTACCTCTTTTCTGTTCCTCATTTAATTTAAATCTCAATGACTCCATGAATTTTTTATTTCATGGCATTGCTGAGGGTGTTATTTTTAGTTTTACTAATAATGTTTCCTGTCCTGAGATAGTTTTTAGCTCATATTTTGAGGTGGAAGTTAAGTGCTTTAAAAAACACCCATCAAACACCTCCTTAAAGCCTCAGGCAGCACTGAATAAGTCTGGAAGGTAAAAATCAAGCAACAAATCTGTCGTCAAGGTTTTAAAATACCTCTTTAAAAGCTCTTTTTGTTATTCTGATACATCTTCATCTCTGCATCCTGGAAATGCAACAGGTATTTAGTAGGTGAAATTTTTTACTCATAATTGCTACCTTCCTAAAGAGTGATGAATTTCTAGATGTCAGACACTAGTATCCTGATTAGGAACAGTTGCCTAGAGCTTGAAGTGGTTTTAAATACCCACATTTTGGGCAAATATAGACTAATTCATCATTGTAGTTTCTTATGTGGTGTTTAACTGCATAAAAGGGTATGTTTACCCGGATTTCTCAAAATGTTTTCCCGTTATATTTTGTATTTGAGAAGAACATTTCATAAGAGGGAAAAATGGTATATTCACCAGTAGGTAGGTAGGATTGAAACCTTTGAGATAGATAGAATGCTTCTTTCCAAAATACTCTGTATTTTTGTTGGATTAGAGCTTGTAGCCCTAATTCTTGTCTTGTACCAAGGTAATTTAAGTTACTTAAGTTTCACCTTAATATTAACTAGAGCAATTTATGGCCTATTTTAATAATGTAAGGTTAAGAGACTGGTAGAAATATCCTCTGCAAAATTAATTCTTGAAATGGAATTATTTTATAGATGCCATCAGTCTTAAATTTCATAGCAGAGTTTAATATTACATTTAAGATTTTTGTATGAAAAAATAAAATCAATAAATTTTTGTTGGAGGATTTTATATGCTTTGTTAGAAGAAAAGTTCAGATATGTTGAAAAGCGGCGATAACGTATAAAAAGATACTGAAGCTGAAAATACCTTGAGAAAATAAATACTGAGAAAAGAATTGCATGCAGTGTATGTTGACTAAGAAAGTAATAAGAGTCATGACATAAAATTTTAGTCACGCTTAAGTTACACAGAAAACCTAAGGAGCATTGTCCAGCTATTTCAGCATCCCAAACCTATGTGCAAGTGACTCCTCAGTGGGCTCCTTAAAAGGTTTTTTTTTAAAAATGACAATTATCCCAGCTTATCTCAGAATTTATCTAAGAAAAAAGATTGGTTTTGTGTGGGATGCTCAGTGCATGGCTCCTTCTCCTGGCATATAATGGGAACACATGCTCTCATTTGACAGATGGAAGTAAGATGTTAGCTGAGAGCAGCTTTCTCCTGGCTTCAGAGTTATTCTTAAAGCAGCTTTTCCTTCCTGCACAGAGAGGTCTCAGCACAAAGCAGGTTTGGGAATAGCAGTGATGTGCAGGCAGCCAGCCTCTTTTCTTGGGTGCTTTTCTTAGACAAGAAGCAGGATTTGAGCAGGCTGTGAGCACATCCTGTCTGCGAGTGGTGTTATAAGAGCGATAAAGCTCTTCTTCCAAAAAGTGCTGGACTTATTACTCATAGGAAACACTCTTGTGCAAGCACAGTGAGTCTGGTATTTAGAAAACAGTACTACTGTGCATGTGCTCATTAACTATGCTGTGTATGTAACAAAGAAAGATCACATGGGTTTGCTGTTGCTATATTGCTATTGGCTTAGACACCCCAGAGCTCAGCAAGCTGATTTCAATCCTGGTGTTCAATTACCTCCCATTTAGCACTTCCGTTCCTAAGACAATTTCCAAACTAGGAGATGCTGCAAAATGTTGATGACCCTTTCTGCCTGTGACTCCTTGTTTCTGATCTGCTGGAAGTCAAAATGAAAAACAGGACTCAAAGGACATTCTTTCTACTCTGCTGTTTTCCCTGCTTCTTATACCTCTGGGAATTACTTTCCTGGTTTGAAGGGAGGCCACTCACATGCTCACTGCGCCACTTACAAGACCTTTAACCATAAGGGCAGAAAGAAGCATTAAAATCCAATACAACACATCAATTTTTCAAGTCTGAAATACAAATGGATAGTCTATGTTATTTAAGTAAATGCAGCACAATAGGAATGAATCAGTAGAAGCAGTTAGATACATGCAAGCTGTACTTCCAAGTATTTACTTCAGACCAGTCCTGCAGACCTCTCCAGGCATGTGCTTCAAAACTGCCTGATGAAAGCAGTATCAGAAATATTCTCCTTCTCATCTGAGCCTACCAGATAGCCACTCTGGACATGACATGCTAACATTTATCTATACCATGTAGATAACAGTAGCATGCTGCTGGTCCTGCCACCATTGCCCTACAGGATGTCTTACTTACCTTCCTGCTTCTTTTATACTTTCGTATTTGTGATTGGCTCCGCAATATCTACTGGCTGCTCTGAGAATCATCAGCAGGCAAGGAAATATGCTACATGAGAGGAAGTGCTATCCCCTTTTTTTGGTAACCAGACTAGGGTAGCAACCTGAAGGAGCTGACTTAAACTTTCTCATGAGATCAAAGGTCATAGCTTCCTCTTAGTCCACAAATTTCAGATTTAGATCTTCTTAAGATTACATTTTATGCAATGGATATGTCTGAACTATTGCATATATTACAATTGTTATTCCCTTGTCCCACATACTCTATCTGATGAAGAACTAGGTTTCTTCATCCTTCTGAATGTGTAACTGTTTACATCTCTCCAGAAGAAAAGGGAAAAAAGCCCCACAAAAGCCCCCAGGTGTGCA